AATAGCCACAGTTCATATAAAATACTCATGAAATCTTCAAAGCAGCACACTTGTTTAAAACTTGCACTTACACGCGCTATTCCATCAAGGAAACATATTCTACAAGAATGATGTAAGTGTAAAAAATATAGAACATTAAACCTCTTAATATTGGCTTGGATTAGTTGTCAAAGTAGTTCTGGATTAGACGATGGATTAGTCATATCGTCTGGAGTAGTTGACTGGATCAGCGAAAGAAAGTAATCCAGGAGTTATAAAACCTCTTCAAATCTTTTATTCAGTCAAGGCCTATCTTGGATGAGATCTAAATCGATTGGAGCATCCGAAATCAAGGAAGGAAAGAATGCATGATTTGTGGATCGAAGAAACCTCTCATTACCTATATAAAATGTTACTTTGGTTAGCATTTTGATTACGCACTTTAACAGGCCTTTGTACTGAGTTTCTTTATTTACTTACCCTGATTTTATTATGTATTACTGAGTGTGCAGAAGGCTTCTTCACAAAATCATGAAGCAATGAAGATCGCCTGCACATCGGATCCACTGGAGTAGGTTCTGGAGTAGTTATAGGTTATACTTTAGTGTGTAATAAACTCTCCTCTTGTACTCCTTTTTATCATAGTGGATTTGGGTTGATGTGAGTGGCCCCGCAAACGTAGGAGTGAGGCTCCAAACTGCGTGAACATTTCCTAGTGCACATTTTCCTTTATTACTCTCGTTTTTATGTTTGTTATTATAACTGGAGTAGTACCGGAATTAGTCCAGCTTTATAATTGAAAATAAAATTAATTAGAACCCTAGGTAAATTTTTGCATTCAAGATTCATGTGCTTTTTCAATTGGTATCAGAGCCCGGGGACTTAAATTACTAGTCTAACCGATCTGGCTATCACGTGTTTGTTGAACTCAAGAACTCAGTATCTGCTCGTTTTTCTGTTTACATGGTTTACTTGTTGCTCACTGTGCATTGAGCCTTGCAACATAGAATGACATAGAGCACCTCCTGAACTAACAGGTGACAACTATGCATATTGGAAGGACCACACCAAAATGCATCTACGAGCTCAAGGAGAGAGGGTCTGGAGAGCTGTTCTTACTGGTTGGTCTCAGCCTACCAAAGATGGAGACAATACAGGAGATCCTCCAGTCCTCAAACCAGAGGCAGAATGGACAGAGACTGAGATGACTACCGCCAGCTACAATCACAAAGCATTAGATACTATCTTTTCTTTAATGCATGAGAGTCAATTTACTATTGTTGCAGGATGTGATTCTGCTAAAGAAGCTTGGGATGCCTTGAAAACCACCTATGAAGGGACCGCATCGGTTAAACAATCCAAGCTACAAATGGTTCAATCCGATTTTGAAGATCTAAAGATGAAAGATGATGAAACTATAGTTGATTTCCATGCTCAGGTACAAGAACTAGCCAATCGCGCAAGCATCTTAGGCGAGCCAATCACTCAAGAGAGACTTGTCAAAAAGATTCCCTGTTCGCTCCCTCTAAGATTTCGCATGAAAGTTACAGTTATTCAGGAGCATGATGGATGTGAAAAGAAAACAGTACAACAATTGATGGGAAGCCTACAAACCTATGAGATGGAAATTTTAGGCGGCACTGAGGCAAAAGAAAAAACCGTAACATTCACTGCCGAAGACGCTGGAGCTGGATCTGATCCAGATGAGGTAAGTCATGATCCAGTAGTTTTTTTTATCTAAAGGTTTTTCTAAATTGTTGCAACAGGTAAAACAACGACAAAACGGAAAATTTGGCAAGTTTCAAGGTAAAAAAGGATCGGGGTCGAGTGTTGCTCGAAACAATCAAAAACCAAATACTTCCAATCAAAGGTCAGGTACTTCAAGAAACTCTAAGCTCAAAGAAAAAACCAGGGGCAAAGGGATCGGGTGCTACGAATGTGAAGGGTATGGCCATGTGCAAGCTGAATGTCCAACTTACCTAAGACGAAAGAAGTCGATGAAAGTTGCTCTCACCTGGAGTGATGATGATGAACCAGAACCTGATCCAGGCGAGATCTCCGGGAACTTTGTTGCCTTCACGACCTTCACAAATATAATGCCTGAATCAGCAGTTGATGAGGAGTCTGAAATTGAAGAATATGTGTCATCCGAAGACTAAGATTTACCTGTTCCTTGGTTCGAAGTAGAATATAAGAAACTGTATGAAAAATGGGAAATTCTTGTAAAAGTGAATAGATCATTGTCTAGTTAGGTTAGCAATCTAGAGAATGCCAAGAAAGTGTATCTATCTAAAATATCTGACAGGGACAGTATCATTGAAGACAGCCACAAGCAAGAAGAAAAACTCAAACATGAGTTGGAAGAGCTCGAAAATGAGCTGGAGTTGCTAAAACGCAGGGTAAAAATGAAGGACAACACATCCACTTTAGACCAAATTTTGGGTTCTGGTCGAAAGACACCCGCGAAGTATGGGTTGGGATATTCAGGAGGAAAAGACAAAGCTGTAACAGTTTTTGTCAAAGCCTCAGGCCCTGACTTAGTAACTGGACCAGATCAAGATAGTCCAGAATCTAGTACAGCCCAACATCAAGTCAGATTTTCCCCAAGTAAAAAGACAACCAAGATTAGATTTTATAATCCTATCTGTCATTACTGCAGGGTGCGTGGACATACGAAACCGGAGTGCTTCTACTTCTACAAGGATCAATGGTTTGAGAAAACACCAAAAAATTCATCACCCCGTTTGTTAAGCAAGTTTGGGTGAAGAAAAGTGACTTTGTCTGCCATGTCTCCTTCCACTCTACAAGTACTAATCGAAAAGAGAGATGATACTTTGACAGTGGGTGTTCACGTCACATGACGGGAAATGCTAGGTTCTTAAACAATATAAAAGGAAGTACAGGAGAAGTAACGTTTGGTGACGGAGTTAAGGGCAAGATAACTGGAGTTGGCACTCTAAATGTCGCAGGTTTACCCAATCTAAAACAAGTTCTTCTGGTGGAGGGTCTTCATGCAAACCTTATAAGTATAAGTCAATTATGCGACCAAGAATGGAAAGTCTGCTTCACTAGGGACAGTTGCAATGTCACAGACTATCAAAAGAACTGCATCATGGAAGGTAAGCGCTCTTCTGATAATTGCTATATTCTTACTAATGATTCCTTTTGTTACAGGTCCAACATAAAAGAATCCAAACTGTGGCATCAAAAAATGGGTCACTTAAACTATCGTTCCCTCGATAAATTAATCAAGATTGAAGGTGTACGAGGTCTACCTAACATCAAGGTAGAAACAGCTGGAGTATGCAGTGCGTGTCAAGCTGGGAAACAAACTAGAGCAGTTCATACCTCTCAAAATATGACCAATACCACACACTGTTGGAATTACTTCATATGGACATTATTGGACCTACCAGAACCGAAAGCATTGGAGGTAAAAGATACATTTTCGTCTGTGTTGATGATTTTTCTCGCTTTTCATAGGTCAGTTTTCTCAGGGAAAAATCAGAAGCCTTTGAAGCCTTCAAAGCTCTAGGCCTCAAACTCCAAACGGAGAAAAATGAGCCAATCATACGCATCAGAAGTACCAGGACTATGTGGTCTAATGGTATCCGGGGTGGACTTCCAAGTGGAAGGTTGTGATTTCGAGCCTCAGTGGAGACGTTATTGGCTCTTTGTGTTTCAGTAGGTTGAGAAAGTATATGAACAGATACTACAATGTAATAGAGCTAGTAGCATTCAAAAAAAAAAAAATACGCATCAGAAGTGATCATGGACGTGAATTCGATAATCAAATGTTTGATGATTGGTGTGCAACATTAGGAATCTCTCATTAATATTCAGCACCTAAAACGCCACAACAAAATGGCGTCGTTGAAAGAAAAAATTGGACGATTCAAGAGATGGCTCGAGTTCTACTCAATGCCAAAGATTTGCCCCAGCGATTTTGGGCTGAAGCAGTCAGTACTGCTTGTCACACGATAAACAGAGTCTATCTGCGACCCGGAACGCATCAAACTCCGTATGAAATTTGGAAAAGTAAGAAGCCAAATGTCAACTACTTTCATATTTTTGGCTCACGGTGTTTTATCTTGAAGGACAGAAGCCCAAATGGCAAATTTGAACCTAAAAGTAATGAAGGGTACCTCCTCGGCAACTCAACGAATAGTCGTGCCTACCGTGTCTACAAAAAAGTCACTAAATCCATCATGGAATCGGAAAATGTGGTTGTTGATGATCAACCCGATGAAATAACAGATGTTATAGGAGATCCTGACACCGAAGTTACTCCAGAATCTGACACAAATAATCCAGAATCTCCTGAAACTACACCACCAGATCCTACTCCGACTCCACCATATACTAGTCCAGAACCTGAGCCAGAACCAGACGCTGGAGCACTTGAAGTGGCTATTCGAACTCACAAAGATCATCTGACACAAAACATCATAGGAGATCCATCCTCCGGGGTACGAACTAGAGGGATTAAGCGTAATTATCTTAATCTTGCAGGGTATACATGCTACACGTCAAAGATTGAACCCAAAACGGTAAAAGAAGCCCTATCTGATGAACACTGGATTAAAGCCATGCAGGAAGAACTCGATCAATTTGAACGGAATAAGGTATGGAATCTAGTGCCTAAACCTGACGGTGTAAATGTTGTAGGGACAAAGTGGATCTTTTGTAACAAGACTGACTCAGCTGGAAAAATTGCTCGCAACAAAGCACTGCTGGTAGCACACGGCTACTCTCAGATTGAAGGGATTAACTATGATGAGACGTTTGCACATGTGGCCCGTCTAGAATCTATTCGCCTTCTGCTATCCATAACATGTGCTCTAAGGATAAAATTGTTTCAGATGGATGTCAAAATGGCGTTTCTGAATGGCTATCTATCTGAAGATATATATATGTAGCTCAACCTAAAGGCTTTGAATATCCTCATCATCCTAACCATGTCTACAAACTGGACAATGCTATCTTGATCTGAAACAAGCCCCAAGGGCCTGGTATGGGAGATGTCCCAGTATCTTCTTCAGCACGGCTACAACCGAGGGGGAGTCGACAAAATCCTATTTATCAAAAGGTCAGGTAAACACGTTACAATCGCTCAGGTGTATGTTGATGATATTATCTTTGGTTCCACTCAAACAGGTGCTACAGATCAACTGGTTCAAGTCATGCAACAGGAATTCGAAATGAGTATGATCGGTGAGCTGACCTACTTTCTAGGTCTACAGGTTCAACAAACTAATGAAAGCATCTTTATATCTCAAGAAAAATATGCAAAAGGCCTTCTGACGAAGTTTGGTCTCGAGTCAGCTAAAGAAGCACGAACGCCAATATCTACAACTACAAAATTAAGCAAAGACGAATCAGGAAAGCCAATTGATCCCACTCTATACAGGAGCATGATTGGAAGTCTACTATATCTAACAGTAAGCCGTCCGGAAATAATGTTGAGTGTTGGAATGTGTGCCAGATTTCAAGCCGCCCCTAAAGATTCGCATCTCAAAGCCGTGAAAAGGATAATTAAATACGTCAAAGGAACCCTAAATTATGGTATTTGGATTTCCAATGATACTAACCTGAATCTTGTAGGCTACAGTGATGTCGACTGGGCTGTGAATGCAAATGATCGCAAAAGTACCTCTGGTGGTTGTTTCTTCTTTGGGAAAAACTTAGTTGCCTGGCTAAGTAAGAAACAAAATTCGATATCTCTCAGCACAGCTGAAGCTGAATATATTGCAGCTGGTAGCTGCTGTACACAACTCTTGTGGATGAGACAAATGCTGCTAGATTATGGTCTACATCAATAGTGAATGACACTATTGCGACAATACCAGTGCTATCAACATCTCCAAGAACCCGGTTCAACATTCCCGTACTAAACATATTGAAATAAAACATCACTTTATACGAGAGTTGGTTGAAAAAAAAAAAAAATCAACCCGGAATACATTTCAACAGAGAAAAATCTAGCTGACCTATTCAAGAAGCCCCTAGATAACACAAGATTTGAGTTATTCCGAGCAGCTCTAGGGGTGTGCAGGTTTTCCATCTAATTTATTTGTTTTTGGAATAATTTAGGTTTTGTTGTCTCCTTGTTTTTTTTTTTTTTTTCCAGATCTGGTCCAGCAACTTCTCCAGCTCCATCCTCTACTCCAGCTAGTACTCCAGACCCTCTCTACACTAAATGATGAGTCATCAGACCGCATTAAATCTCGCTCGATTTCTTTAATTTTTTTTCTCTCTCCTAGCTATTATACATCATCGGCTTCATCCCCAAAATTAGGATCAAAATCCCGAATTTCTCTCTGTCCTTCTATTTTACCTCTTCGCAACTTCCTCTCTTCATTCGTAATTCTAGCCAAAATCTTCCACAAAATCTTCTCCTACTCTCTTACATCCTCATATGGCAGGTCACTCTGATCTCAATCATTCCTTTTTTACCTGACTGAGGATGAGCGATTGGATCTCTATCACCAAATTCTTCGAGGCACGACATCGATTTCTGATCTCTCCACTAGGCGTGTTCTTGCCACTCTCCTTCGACATCCAGCACTGATGGAGGAGTTATCTGTTTGAGACTCAAAGGCGATCTTCGAAAGGGCTTCGGGCATCACTGATGAACTTTGGCCTCTTGATGAGGTTTTCAACGAAGGAGGTCTCCAAGCAGAGCTTATGACTCGACAATTACGAGCTCAATCTACGGTTTGGCTTCTTTTACTCCCTTTAGAGGCAATTGCTTGTTGTTATTCTCTAGGTGTGATATTTCATCTTGAATCTGAATTGCTTCATTTTTATGCTTTTGGGTGTTGTTGTTGTGTTGCTGCTGTATCCATGCATCTATAATTAGGATCCCTCTGCCGGGTTATCTCTTGTGCCTCTGTCTACAATTGCTTTCACAGGTTCTCTGCCTCATCGCTCAAAAGAAGCCGTCCCCACAATGCTTGAACATCAATCTTCGCAATAACATCATACCTCTACTCCAGAAGCTGCTCCAGGATCTGCTCCAGGGGATGTTGGGGTATCGATCCATGACATTGTCTCTGAACCTGAGGATCCTTCTATTCAAGCGGCCATTATGTCGGATATTATCGCCAATATACCTAACTCTGCTCGTGTTCAAAGATCTGTCCCGGTCATCGTTGTGCCGTTTGCATCATCTAACGCAAAGGGGAAGGCCAAAATCACTGATCCGGATGATCCTCCAGTTGCTCCTGTCCCTGCTCTGGCTGTTAAGAGGAAGCTAAATTTGTCTGCCGATGTTGAGTTTGTATCTGAGACTCGCCCAAGCAAACGCTAAGAACATCAATTGTCTGGTCTTGCTCTGCGTACCATGTCTAGGACTGGCTTCTCTAGTCCAGCCCCTCCTCCTGCTTCTGTTCCAGCTCCAAAGCCAACTGCTTCGTCTAAGACCAGGACTTCTAAGGTATCCAAGGAAACACTCTTCAGACCGATTCTGCTTTATCCTGTTCTGGAAGTAATATGGCAGCAACATTCTAGCCGGGACATTCTCGTTGAGAAGAACTTCAGTATTGAGTATCTTATTCGTAGCTGCAATGTCATTCCTCTCCTTCATGCCCAGAATTTTCTTCAGACCATTCAGAATGTGGGTGCTTACTCTGCTTGGCTTATTCCGGAGTTCTATGCTAATTTGCAGTCTGATTCTCTTCTACCAGCTTCTCCCCACTAACATCAGGTCTTCATGAGGGATGTTTGATATGATTTCAGTCCTAATATTATCAATAATTATTTTCAGCGTGATGTTTGTGATGATTTGTTTGAACCTGCGGGTGATTTTCTTGCCTCACATCTTACACACAACGAAGTTACTGTCTAGCCCAAAGATGGCCTTCCGTCGAATGTGCTTATTGTTGTATGCTCCATTCTTTTTCGCCTAGCTTCGAGTAACTGGCTTCCAAATTTCTCTGTGCACATGGTCACCAAGAAGATGGCTTCTCTTTTGTACAAAGTTCGACATCAATTACCCATAGATCTTGGTCATCTCATTTATCATCACATTATAGCCTTTGCAAAGAAAAAGGAAGCTAAGATTCATCTCCCTTTTCCATGTCTGATCACGGGGATCTTACAACAACTAGAGCCGTCAAAACGGGCTTAGCCCGTCGGGCCGGCCCGCCCCGCCCCTACTTAGGTAGGGGGCGGGTTTTGAAAATAGAGGACCGTTTAGGAGCGGGCTTTTTTGGCCCGCCCCGTTTAGGCCCGCGGCCCGCGGGTTGCCCGCCATTATTTTATTTTATTTTATATAAAATATTTTTATATAAAATATGCACTTTAAAATTATTTTTATATGTAATATTTTTGGACTTTGTAGTTGTGACTAGTTTGATGTTTGATAAACTATGAACTTTAAACTTTATATAGTATTTAATGTTTGATTATTATGTTTTATGTGAGTTATGACTTATGTATCAATTTATTTTAATTAGTTAGATGTTTGATGAACAATTTTTTTTAAAAAAAAAAGGGTTTCGGCGGGGGCCCGCCTAGCCCGCGGGCCATTGACGGGGCGGTCTGGGCCTATCAAACCCAGGCCCGTTTAGGAGCGGGCTTTTTTAGCCCGTCCAGTTTAGGCCCGCGGCCCACCGGGCTTTGGCCCGCCCCGCCTCGCCAGCCCGTATTGACAGCACTAACAACAACAAGGTCTACACCTTTACTCCAATGAAGAGCTCTGTCATATCACTCATAAGACCTCAATGGACTCTCGCATCTTCCAGAAATCACACTATGATGATCGGGCCACTCTCACATCAACTCCACCTGCTCCTACTCCAGCTGCTCCTCCAACTTCAGGCGCGGGATCTCCATCGTCTGCTTCTGCTGCTGACTCCACATCGGCCCTGGCTTTTCTTCGACAGCAGGCTATCTTTCTCACCACTCAGATTGCTACCATGAAGGATGCCTCTCTTGCCCTTCAATCTTCCATCTCTACTGCCGAGGCTCAGCTGCTCCGCACCAATCGTCACATCGCCTCTCTTGAAGATGTCTCTCCCTCTGCTCCTGCTGGTGATGCTGAAGCCGTCGAGCTCTCTTCCTCCTCCTCCCAATTCTGATGCTGCTCTTTGTCCATTAGCTTGCCAAAAAGGGGGAGTGCACGTAGTAAGGGGGAGTGTTTTTTTGGGAACTTACAATATGTGCCAGTGAATAAATATGGTGTGCTATCTGCTTCTAGTTATATGTAGTTATCTGATAAGTTTTTGTGTGGTCTATTTGATAAGTGTAATGTTTTGTCTCTATTTTAAATGACAAGCTGTTATCCTATGTGATCTATGTGTATGTGATCTATGTGTTTTTAAAATTATTATGTGCTTGTTTGCGTTAAATGTGGTTAAGTTCTTTGGCACATCATTGTTAAGTCTAAGAAGGCTGTGTAGATATCTACTCCTAACTAGTGACTAATCCACCTTGTCAAAGTTGTATCTCTTTCTCATCTGGCAATTGTTTTTGTTTTATAAGCCGTTGAGATCTCTTAGGTAGTTTTGTCAACTAATAGCCAAAGGGAGAGATTGTAAGTGTAAAAAATGTAGAACATTAAACCTCTTAATATTGGCTTGGATTAGTTGTCAAAGTAGTTCTGGATTAGATGCTGGATTAGTCATATCGTCTGGAGTAGTTGACTGGATCAGCGCAAGAAAGTAATCCAGGAGTTATAAAACCTCTTCAAATCTTTTATTCAGTCAAGGCCTATCTTGGAGGAGATCTAAATCGATTGGAGCATCCGAAATCAAGGAAGGAAAGAATGCATGATTTGTGGATCGAAGAAACCTCTCATTACCTATATAAAATGCTACTTTGGTTAGCATTTTGATTACGCACTTTAACAGGCCTTTGTATTGAGTTTCTTTATTTACTTACCCTGATTTTATTATGTATTACTGAGTGTGCAGAAGGCTTCTTCACAAAATCATGAAGCAATGAAGATCGCCTGCACATCGGATCCACTGGAGTAGGTTCTGGAGTAGTTATAGGTTATACTTTAGTGTGTAATAAACTCTCCTCTTGTACTCCTTTTTATCATAGTGGATTTGGGTTGATGTGAGTGGCCCCGCAAACGTAGGAGTGAGGCTCCGAACTGCGTGAACATTTCCTAGTGCACATTTTCCTTTATTACTCTCGTTTTTATGTTTGTTATTATAACTGGAGTAGTACCGGAATTAGTCCAGCTTTATAATTGAAAATAAAATTAATTAGAACCCTAGGTAAATTCTTGCATTCAAGATTCACGTGCTTTTTCAAATGACTTGCTTTCACTCGCAAGTATTACTCAAAATACAAATAATTACAACAAAACATATATAATGAAACTCATATCTCACCACCATTTCATAAGTCTCATCATTTGAATTTACTCTGTCACTTGGGAAATCTTAAAATCTTAATGCTTTGACCTTAGGCTTGAATAACATTTTGTAAATAACTTAGTCAAACTTATTTCCTTAATTTACAATTATAGATACCCATCAATCTTCGGAGTCCAACCCGAATCCACACAATTTCAATCTTTATATTAAAAACTTCTAAAAGATATTAGGTTTACCCAACAATAGTCAAACTTCCATAGTTCAGTTTTAAAGACTTAATTTGTCCAACAAAATTTGCCTAAAACCATTTAGCAAATTAAATACTATGATACTAATAATTTCTCCTTCTCAAACGTATTATCCATCATATTCAATCTCCCAAAATTTAAACATGATTATCCTTTTTTGACTATTTCTTGAGTCAAACTTCCAACCCAATGGTTAACACATATCAAGTCCAAAATCTACTATAATCACGGCTCTTAACTATCTTCATACAAGTTCTTGCTTAGGCTGTTTAGGAAGCAATTTCTAAAATCATCTATCTTTCATCATCAATACTTGAGTAAATCAACCCTAAAATCATCAAATAAATCAATTATCAAATAATCCAACTTTTATAATTAGAGATTTCAATATTCCAAATAAAATCACTAAATTCAAGTGTTCCTTTCAAATCATAGATTATCACTTGAAACTTATACCAAATATTCAACAACACATATCCTTACCTTGATTTTCAAAATTTTAATTCCTTAGTCAACTCCATGAGTTATATTCTAAAATTCCATAACTTAGGCTCTTATATCCAAAATTCCATAACCAATTCCAAATACTTTATCAAAATATAGTTCCTCAATTGAACAATAAATCAAATATAATCACCAATTTCTATTATTTTTCTCAAAATCCTAAATTCTCAAAATAAAATAAATAATTTGTTTTTAATAACACCACCAAGTACAAATCTTTTTTTTTTAATGGATAAATGATCAAATCCCAAATAAGCTGCTAAACCCAAACATTTCCTTCAAATATAGAATCTCATAATAATAATCAAATCAAATAATATATTCATTAAGGATAAATTAGGAAATCTTAAGAAAAAATTAAAATCTAATCAATCTGAGTCATTCATTTGATTAAAAAATTTGACCGTCATTTTTTCTACCCATTATAGGCCTAACTCTCTTGGGCTCTTATTAGTATAGTATAAAAAAAATTATTTATCCTAATTAATTTATTGATAATGAATAATTTTTTTTAATAAAGACATTGTAGGGACAATGTAGCGAATATAATCAATTGATGAATTTGAATGTAAAGAATTTTTATATTGGAGAAAAATAAATACAATATAACTAATGAAATTATTTCTCTTATTTAATTAATTGATAATGAATAATTTTTTTTTTTGAATAAAGACATTGTAGACACATAATTCTAAAGAAATGCATATGTATTATTTTTTGTTGTAGCTACTAAACTATTATTATTTATAATAATTTAATAAGAGTAATATAGAGTACTAATTATGCCAACTTTAATTGGAATGGGGTTCGAACCTAAGACCTTTTATTGAAATCAATAAGTAAGTGAACGGTGAACTAACAGAAATTAACGGAAAAGATAATATTTAACGGAAAAGTTAACGGATAATCATATTCATTAAGGATAAATTAGGAAATCTTAAGAAAAAATTAAAATCTAATCAATCTGAGCCATTCATTTGATTAAAAAATTTGACCGCCATTTTTTCTACCCGTTATAGGTCTAACTCTCTTGGGCTCTTATTAGTATAGTAGATAGTAGATAGATAGATAGATATATTTGGATATGTTTGGTTTAAATTGAGTAAAATATAATTTTTACTTTTACTTCTAATATACGTAAGATTTTAACATTTGATATCCGAAGCAAATTCATATCCGTATGTAACATAACTAAAAACATATCCAAACCAATAACTTATTAAATTTACATAAATTTAGTTTAGATAATATTAATATTTTTGAACTAATATTTAAACTATTTTTGAATAAATTCATTTGAATGACTTGTATACATATAATTTTTACTTTCATGTCTAATATATATGAAATTTCAATATCCATTATCCGGACCAAACTTGTATTACGATACAACATAACTAGAAATATCCGAACCAATAATCTATGGAATTCAATCAAAATCTAAAACTTCGTGTAGTTTTCTAATTTTAATTTCGATAATGTAAATAATGTCTAACTTTAAGTGTAAGCAAATAAGTTATATTTATATAAGTAAATGCGGGTAGAGAAGATAGAATATGGTGATAAGGGAAAGAATATAATAATGAATGTAATTATAGTAATGAATAAATATGTAAGTACGTAGATAATGGTAAGAATGTGGTTATAAATAATACTTTCAATAAAAAAAAAATAAAATAAGGACATGTGTCAACACCGTATGCATTTAACCTGATAAACAAGTCAACCTGGACTTAATTGAACAATTTTACAGATTTAAGGGACCTGAAGTTTTTTTTCACTTAGGGGACCCAATTGCACTATCCACTCGACTTAGGAGGTCAATTTGACACTTTTTCCTATAATCAAATAAATGATAAATGATTTGTTTTTCATTTATAAATAGTTTTTTAAAGTTCTCTAGTTTTCTAGAAAATTTTCAGTTTTTTAAATGAAAAATTGTGCTAATAAACATATTTTCTATTTTCTATTCTCTAATTATCCAATTTTTCAAAAAAGAAGAAAAATAATTTCAATTAGTAAACATGGCCATAAAGTTTTATTCAACAATTGTATTGTGGACCGCGGTCCAAAAACGACGTCGTTTCTTTACTTAAAGAAACGACAGTCGTTACAGCTAAACGGAACATGTATTTTTTGTGTGTCAATTATCAAATGAAACTACAGTGTATCTAAACTGAAACTGTCTCACGTATTATTTTTATATTATCAAATGAAATTGCAATTGGATTGAAATGAAACTGTAGTTGTGTTTAAATGAAACTGCAATGTATACAAAATGAAACTATATAACAATTTCACATATTTTAGTGTATATTGTCCAACAAAATTTTAGTTATATAAAAATGATACTGTAGTTGTGTTGAAATGAAACTACAGTGTATATAAAATGAAACTGAATAACATTTCACATATTTGAGTGTATATTGTGCAATGAAACTGTAGTTATATCGAAATGATAATGTAGTTGCGTTGTAATGAAACTATAGTGTATATAAAATAAAACTGAATAATAATTTCACATATTTGAACGTATAATATCGAATGAAACTGTAATTATATCGAAATGAAACTGTAGTGTATACAAAATGAAATTGAATATGTTATACAATCAAAGTTACTTTTTGCGGACGACGCGGAATATGTGCCGTTTCTTTTCATTAAAAGAAAAAAATATCATCTTGATGCTTGGATCATAATGCATTATGGACAACCGTCCACAATATTTATTTGGGCTGATATTATGGCTTCAGGCTTCAAAGGCCTAATTTGGCCTAAAAGAACTGCTCCAATGCCAAAGGTTCAACAATCATTATTGTGTGGACCATATTTTGTATGTTACAGTATAAAATATGTACATTTAGTACAAAAATAATGTACATTTAATATATTAATAATGTACATTATATTCAAGGAAAATACATTATTTGAGTACTAAAAGTACATTATTTTATATAATATACATTAATATATTAAAAATGTACTTTTTGTTATGGTCAACATCAATCATTATTGTATGGACCATGGTGTGTGGACCATATTTTGTCTACTGTAAAATAATGTACATTCAATACAAAAATAATGTATATTGTATTCAGGGGATGTACATTATTTTTGTTCTGAGTGTACATTATATTGTATAATGTACATTCAGTAAAAAAATAATGTACGTTTAGTATAATAAAAATGTACTTTTTGTTATTGTGCACATAACATTCTGTGGATTATGATCTACACAATAATTTGCCGATCAATATAGCACTATGTAGACACAATAATTTGCCGGTCAATATAGCACTATATAGACCATGGTTCACACAATAATTTGCCAAGGTTAAAAGGTCCAAGTTTCCACAAGTGCAGAATATCTGTGCTAGAAAACACTCACACGCGCCAGGATCCTGGTTCGCCGGTCTCGAATCGCAAAAGCCGCCATCTTTCGGTCCTTTTTTTTTTTTTTTTTTTTTTTTTTTTTTTTTGGGTCTTCTTCTCCAACTCGGCAGCTAAATCCCATGATCATACCTTCACTGCATTCACTCTCCATAGTCCATAGCTTCAACAGCTCTCCAAGCGGCCCAGCGATCAATAGAGCTTCAAAATCGCCATGTACAGAGCCGCCGCCTCTCGCGTCAGAGCTCTCAAGGTCCGCCTCTTCCTAACCGTTGCTCCAATCTTCTCCATACACATCTCCCTGACGCCCTCCCTCTCTTATTGCCTGTAATTTGGATTTTGTAATCATATTTAAATTAATTCCGTCCTTCAGCACTCAAATGATCGCGCTTCTGGCTGCATGTGTATATCTATTGCAGTGTATCTCTTGTCTCTATATCTGTCAATAGCCCAGTGCTTACGGTATTTCATCTTCTTAATCAGGAAAATTTCTCTTTATGGGGTCTTTTTTTTGAAAGATATAAAAAGTTTAAACTTCTGCCAAAACTGGGGCACGTGAGATTTATCTACTCTTGGATTGGAATTGGAAAGAGACCATCACAGAAAGATCAAATTCTAAATTTGATCTTTGATTTAATTTAATTGATAATTCTGATCATACTATCTGAAGTGGCTAAGCTTATGAAGAGTAGATTTTGGTGGATGAGTCTAAGTTGTAGATGCAATTTAAGAGAATGTTTGTAATTGGCAAAACCATTGTATATGCATTTAGCTCAAGAGTTCAGAGCCAATGCTTGCTGTTTCAGCTATTTTTAACTATTCCAATTTGGTTATTTGATGGTACTGGATCCAAAGGCAATTCTAATTTCATATATATATATATATATATATATATATATATATATATATATATATATATATATATATATATATATATATAGAAGTGTATTCAAATGAGGACAACTATATTATAGAGGACTGTGAGGACTGATGTAGTCGTGTGCCATTAGTCTGTATGTCGTGTGCATGACCGGATGTAGCCATGTGCCATAATTGGTATGTTGTGTGCATAGGTTTGTTAATTAATAGAGCCTGGGTTCGAAACCTGATGTTTACATGTATGATAGTGTGCCATTGTATATTAAATTGTGTTGTGTGCTAATAATCTGTCCTCACAATCCTCTATATATTGTTGTCCTCATTTAAACGCAACCCTATATATATAATACAGTCTATGAACAAGAGTTTTTTGGGGTGTATGATAGGGTCGAGATGGCAGTAGGGCATTGACAAGATTTGCAAGTTCATCTGTTGCTGCAACCAAGTCATCCCCTGGGGGACTCCTTAGTTGGTTAAATGGTGATAAGTCTAATTCTCTCACTCCTCTAGACTTCCCACTAAAGGATGTTACTCTACCACCTTGGCTACCTGATCATGTTGAATCTGGGAAGACCAAGGTAACAACTTTACCGAATGGTCTCAGAATAGCTTCAGAAACATCAGCGGTATGCTCTATTGTACTTCTCTTTTTCTTTTGCAGTTGTGGTCAAAGATTGCTATTCTTTTAACTTTTAATTTTAATAATTTGCTTCATTGTTTGGGATTAGAGCCCTGCCGCCTCAATTGGGTTATATGTTGATAGTGGCTCAATATATGAAACACAAGTGTCGCTTGGGGCCACATATCTCTTGGAAAAAATGGCATTTAAAAGCACATTGAACCGAAGCCACTTGCGTCTTGTGCGAGAAGTTGAAGCCATTGGTGGTAATGTGACAGCTGCCGCCTCAAGAGAGCAAATGTGTTACACTTATGATGCTCTGAAGACATATGTTCCTCAAATGGTAGAGCTGCTTGTAGACGCTGTTAGGAATCCTGCGTTTTTGGATTGGGAAATTAAAGATGAGGTATCTTTTATATATCTTATTTCTCGTGCCTACTGAAAAGATGATGTGTGGGATCTTTTAGTAATAATTCTTTATTCTTTATTACTTTCAGCTTCACAAGATGAAAGGTGAAATTGATGACTACTCAAGAAACCCACAGGCCTTACTTTTGGAGGCCATTCACACTGCAGGTTATACAGGCCCCTTATCTAATCCTCTCATGGCCAATGAATCTTCAATCAACAGATTGGACAGTACGATTTTAGAGGAATTTGTTGCTGTGAGTGTTAATAATGGTTTACACTTTCCCATTTCCTTATACTTAAGTTTCCTCATTTGTTGTACTGTGTGTCACTGTCCTGTTCTCCTTAATAGGAGAATTACACTGCTTCTCGGATGGTACTAGCTGCATCAGGTGTTGAACATGATGAGCTGTTGAAAGTTGCAGAACCACTTTTATCTGACTTGCCTATTGTTCCTTGTACTAGTAATCCCAAGCCCGTATATGTAGGAGGCGATTACCGTTGTCATGCTGATCATGGGGTGCGTGTCAAAATTTCTCTTTGATGCCTTGCTTCTTATGTAATGACAATTCTGTATATGTGTAACTAGCATCTTTAATATCTCTTTTGACCAGGTTACACATTTTGCCCTTGCTTTTGAAGTTCCTGGTGGCTGGCATAAGGAAAAGGATGCAATGACTTTGACAGTACTTCAGGTATTCAACAATTTTGCAGTAACGAATTTATAGCAGTTGAGTTCCCCAATTCTGGATTTCTAGTTTTTTTTTTTTTTTCTTTTTTTCTTTTTTTCATTGAAATGCCATGTACTTAGCAGTCACTTGGGGTCTGTTTACTAACAGAAAACTGTTCTCTGTTTTCTAATTTTTCAGTTTTCATTCTCTATTTTCCAATTCTCTGTGTTCCAGTTTTTCAGAAATTTCCAGAAATTATTTTCAGTTTTCAAAATGGAAAACTGTGTTAGTAAACATGTTTTCTGTTTTCTATTTTTCAGTTTCCGGAAATTTCCAGAAATTTCCAGTTAGTAAACGGCCCCTTGGTTTTCATATCTGTGTTCTAGTTTGCTTGATGATTTTTTTTTTTAATCCTTTACTAAACAGACACTTATGGGAGGGGGTGGCTCTTTCTCTGCTGGTGGTCCTGGAAAAGGAATGTATTCAAGACTATGTAAGTTCATTGAATAATTGCCCTTGACTCTTGACAAATCATTTAGCTTATCACACTAATGAATTATACAGGGCATTTTATTTGCAGTTTGCACTCTTTCTTTCCTTTTAGGTTCTGTTATCTAAATGTTTTTGTGCTCTTTTGGTCTGTTAATATTTTATATTTCCTAAAATTGGCACCTTTTGTAATATTCTTCTTCAATGAACAGATCTTCGAGTCTTGAATCAGTATCCACAGATTCAAGCATTTTCTGCATTTAACTGTATTTACAACAATACTGGATTATTTGGAATTCAAGCAACCACTGTAAGGAACCTATCTAATTACTTTAATATTCTTGTTGATACCTGTTATAATAATTTAAGATTGGGCCATGGTCACTCAACTGGGCTATAATGGACATGGGCCAAACCACACTAAAAGATTGAATCCAACCAATTAGTTAGTCTAACCCATGACCTTATAAACCCATATGTTCTCTCTTTATTTTATAGATGTGGGACTCTTAACAACAAAATTAGTGCAAATGTAATGTTTAATGTGTAAAACCAACTGTTAAATTATGATTTGTTATAAAGTGTTAAGTGGTCAGGCCCTAAAATGTATATTACTTTTCAGAAGGTTGTCCATGCATACACTTGTGATTCGAATAATTTTTACGGTTGAGTTTTATTGAACCTTTGCCGTAATGACATTTGAGGCTCTTTCACAATCTGTGGTCATCACTTTTCATCTCTTTTGTGGAATTAGATAGAAATATAATTGTAGTTTTCGTTTTTTCCTTCTACATGCTACATTAATTAACGAGGCCTTATTTTCATGCTTCAGACCTCTGATTTTTCATCAAGGGCTATTGATATAGCTGTTGAAGAGCTCACTACCATTGCAAATCCTAGAGAAGGTATAATTTCTGGGTAATGTTCCCTTGACTCTATAGGAGGTTCAAGGCCAATTTTGTAACTGCCAAGAAAAATGTAAAATAGAATTTTTATTTTTTTTTTTGGTTCAAAATAAATTATTTTCTAAATTGAAGAATGGAAAATGAGTTAGTTGTTTCATATCTCTCTCTCTTCCACCGTGTAGTTGACAAAGTGCAGCTTGACCGTGCAAAAGTATCAACGAAGTCTGCCATTTTGATGAACTTGGAGTCCAGGGTATGATAATTTTATGTTTTTTTTTTCCCATGATTTTATGATTTTGGTTTCAATTTTCTGATCTCATAGGCTGATAGGCTCCTTTGCTCTTAAGAAATGTGTTCTTTTCTTTTATTACTTTTGATGTAGATGGTTGCATCAGAAGACATAGGTAGACAAATTTTGACATATGGCGAGAGGTAAGCCCTTGCTTATGGTGTTTGTTATTGTTTGTTATTAACATACAGTGATATAACTCCACAATGGCATGTTTATTGTGCTATTTTATTTTTTACCTTTTTTTTTGCTAAATGAAGATTTTTCTCTATGACTTTTCTTTAATTAGTCTGGTTATGCCCGCCCCCAATATAGTGTGTTTCGGTTAATACCACTAAGAATAGTCACATTACTATTGCACTTGATTAACTAAATAGGCAATATCTAAAATGGGATTCTCAACTGATGCAAAATTTTGGATAGAATTGCTTCTAATATTTGCAAAGAGTTAATACCAACCGGGGTCCTCCGAGTATAGTGGCACTGCCACGTTTAGTCCCAAACTTTCAATTTAACCACTCGTGGTCCTTCAACTTTCAAATTTAACCACCTTTGGTCTTTCAACTTTCAAGTTAACTACTCATGATCCTTCAAATTTCAATTTTTTAATCAACCATGGTCCTAACTTTGCCCTTACATAAACTAAGGGAAGGACCACGACTGGTTAAATTTGAGAGTTGAAGGACCACGTGTGGTTAAATTAAAAGTTTAGAACTACACGTGGCAGTGTCATTGTACTCGGAGGACCCCAGCTGGTATTAACTCTATTTGCAAACAAGTTGTCAGTATCTCAAAGGAAACACAATGCCTCAATTCTTGAGATTAATTTCGTTAAATTCTGGATCCTCAGGAAACCCGTGGAGCATTTCCTGAAAGGCATTGATGAAGTTACAGTAAAGGATATTTCATCCCTTGCACAAAAGCTCTTATCTTCTCCCCTCACCATGGCTTCATATGGGGATGGTAAATTTTCTTTTGGCAGGCATCAGTTTCTACGTTTGAATGTTGTATTCAATTTTTCCAGCAAACTTTCTCATTTTTGGTCATTCCTGCCAGTTCTGAATCTTCCAAGTTACGATGCGGTCAGCAAGAAGTTCCATTCCAGTTAAGTTTTTTCTCCCAGACATTCAATAATTTTTTTGGGCCATCTCATGAAACAATGTTTTGTGGAAAAGTAATCTTTTAGACTAGATCAGATGATAAATATTAGTCTTCCAAGCTTTTGATAAGAAGCTGAAGTTTGGTTGGTGCAAAATTTCTTTATTGTATGTGCTTGTAATTTTATCAAGTCTTTTCCTATTTGTTTCCTGGCAAAATGCTGGAATCTGGATTTCTGACATTTTGCTCTCTGTGTAGGCCTTAATAATACTCCATTTGTCTCATTTTATGTGTCTTTGTTTACTATTAATTAGTCAAAGTGTCAAACCAACTCTTTCTTCTTTGCTGATTTTCTTAGTAATTTTTAATTTTGATTTTTTTTGTGTTTAATAGTACTTTTAGTGTAGTTTCTAAACATATAAATTTTATATACCAATACTAAACTTAATATTATGAAAAATTGAATTTAAAATAACTTCAGTTAAGTCTCGTTAATCGAATCACATAAATTGGGACAGCGGGAGTATTTTTTTTTTGTTTTTTTTTGTGCATATTTTTTGTTTTTTTTGTTTTTGTTTTTGTTTTTTTGTTTTTTTTTTGTTTTTTGTTTTTATGTTTTTTTGTTTTTGTTTTTTTTTTGTGCATATGATTAGTATGAAATTTGTTATGATTAATTAATAGATGAATATATAATAATTAACAATTAGTAAAGTTTTAATAGCACTGAAGGATCAGAGTCGTTTTAAAACATCTCCATAAACGGAGAAGATATTGCTAGATATATTATACCTTGAACATTGCCAAGAGTTCAAAATTGAATTCAACGAACATTCCCTCTTTGATTGGATATATAGACTATATAGTATCCTAACTTTGTAATACCTAATTTTTGAATTGTTTTGAGTTTATTTCTTATCAATTCATGGTAAATCTATTGAAAATCTGCATAGCCAGCTCAACTGGTCATAGGGGTGAAGTTTGGAAAGAATGACCAAAGATCGAGTGAGGGGGGCTCTTTGTGGTTCAGTTGAGTTACCATGATTTACATCATCCCAGATGTTTTGTCGGGTCAGGGTGTGGGGATTCCTTGGGGTTGGGGATTCAACCTTTTTGGGAAGAATGATAAATCTATAGAAAGGCTTTGAGTGTTTCAAAAATAAAATGAAGCCTTGAAAAGTTTTTTCATACTAGAAATGCACAAACTTTAGAGATACTAGACTTGCATTGTTAGTTAGGTTCATAGTGGAGTTGAGTTAATCAATTTGCGGATTAGATTATTGACAATAATGTTGTCTTGCCTTTTAATTTGCATATTTTTATCAAGTTTTATACACACGTAAAATGGAGTCTCTAAAAATTGGATGTCTTTGAAGTCCTATGCGATCGCACACATGCTCAGACCCAACCTACATATTCTTCTATCATTTCAAAGAAAGTGTGAAGGACATTTCTGTGAAACAGAGACTCAAAACCATTTTAAAACATTGACTCTAAATTTGGGCAATTTATATCCTACACCACGGCGCGCTATGCATTGTGCGTTCAGATGCAAAACGACGTCGTTTCAGATTTAAAAAAAAAAAAAAAAAAAAAATTTCGCTACCCAGTGTTTGGTAGTTAATTTTCCTTCAAAAAAAAATCTCATGTTAAAAAATGTACATAATGTTATACATGAATGTACATAATTGTATACATGAATGTACATAATTGTATAACAAAATATACATATTGTTTTTTAAAAGGTAATACTCATAATCTAACATAATATACATATGAGAAAAGGGTCAAATAGGCCACTAAACATTTCGCTAAAAGTCAATTAGCCCCACGAACTTTTAAAAAGTTCAATTGAACACATGAACATACGATTTTTGGTCAGTTGACACCATTAGCTGGTAACTTCTCCGGTAAAAGTCGGTAATTGCCCCTGTGGCACGTCACATAAGCGTTGGAGTGTGTACTTGGTTGCCACATAAGCATAAATACAAAAAAATAATTAAAGAATTAGAATTTAGAGTTGAATCGTGATTTTAAAACTTTTCTTTTGTTTCTTTAATTTAATTTTTCTTTAGTTTTATGCTTATGTGGAATCCAAGTACGCACTCCAACGCTTATGTGGTGCGCCACGTGGGCAATTACCGGCTTTTACCTGAGAAGTTACTGGCTAATGGGGTCAACGTACCAAAAATCGTGTGTTCATGTGTTCAATTGAACTTTTTAAAAGTTCGTGGGGCTAATTGACTTTTAGCGAAATGTTTAGGGGCCTATTTAACCATTTTCTCTATACATAATAAACATAAACTTTTAACATAATACACACCAACTCTTAACATAATACACAAAAATTTCCTGATTCGGATGTACATAATTGTATAAAAAAATGTACATAATTGTATAAAAAATGTACATAATAAAAAATATACATAATTGTATGAACAAATATACATAATCACAGCAACTTCCTACTGCGCCTCTCAAAACAACGTCGTTGTTTTGGGAGGCGCGCGACGCACAGTGCTACGCACATAGTGGTGTAGGGTATCCAATCTGTAGTATTTTGTCTGCCAAACTTGCAATAGTCTGCATCAAATATAAGCCCAATTTCATAAAGATTGATGGGGTGTTTGGTAAATAGTTGTTAGCTGGTTGAGTTAGTGAGTTTGACTAATTGATAACATTAGCTGACTGTAGAAAAATGTTTGGTAAATTAGCTGTTAGCTGTAACTTATTACATACAAAATGACTTTTTGAGTACTACTGACTCTATTATAATGTTGTATTTGTTCATATATACTTTCTCAACCTCTTAAAGCACAAATAGTCAATATCGCTCACATTAAGGTCCAAACCCATGATTTTCCATTTGGAAGAGTTACTTCATGCCACTTGATCACAAGATCATTGGCGAAGGATCAATAGCTCAATTTTAAATTAATCAACACTTAATATGGTTACTAAATATCTTTAAAAAAATAAACCAAAACCTATCACTTGATATATGTAGCAACATATAAATGAGTTGTTATACCATGGACTAAGGTCCACCTAAACCACGTATAAATTTTATATTTTTAGTATTGAAATTGTGAACTTTTAAAATATAAATTTCGTTTTTAAGTCAAAACACATAACAACTTTAGAAAGGAATTTGAGAACACAATACAGGGTTATCATATCCTAATCTGTTAATAAAATAAGGTAATCAATCAATTACATATATGTTAACATTGTGTGTTCATAGTATACAAATTATGAATTTTTAAAAGGTAAATTGTGAACATTTAGTATATGAATTGTGAAAATTTGGACCTAGATCTATATTGCAAAGTGGAGTTGGGTTCACAGAATAATTTACGCATATAAATAGCGAATAATTGGTCATGCACGAAATGAGAATAAGTATCACTAACCAACAAATGCAGATCTAGACTTATAAAACCGTTAAATTTCTATTACAATACTTTATGAGACAACCCTACCCTTGTAGTAAGGACTAAGAGCGTTACAATTGCGTTGAATTTCGATGCTGTCAATGATTATACACTGAATGCTGTGTTGTGTTTGACTCCGACTTCTGTTCGACTGTTCTTAAGCAGTTACATAATCCAACGACTCATTTTCAACAAATTGGTGATTAATCTTGAAGCAAATTCAAGTACCTTTAATTAATTACGCATGCATGCATCTCTCCGATGATTATTATTGTTGCTGCATGCTGCTACATACGTTGTCGTTTGCATTAATATACAGAAATTTAAATAAATGTTGTTTCGGAGATGTCGATGCCGCAGTGTCGTAGCAAGCTTCTTTAATATAATTTGGTGAGAAAAAATATATATTTTATATAGCAGAATTTTTTAAAAGAACTTTTTGGTAAGGCTTTAGAGCGTGAGATCACCAAACCCACAAATATTTCCTTGTAATTTATTTTATTACACAACATCCTATATATGATAAAGTCATATGGTCTTGTGAAAATTAAATGTTGATAATCAACATTTAATTTTCATAAGACCATAATAATATTGTTATTGTGAAAATTAAATGGTTATAATCAACATTTAATTTTCACAAAACCATAATAATATTGTTAATTATAATAACAATAACAATAATAATAATAATTGCAATAATAATAATGATAATAATTTCCACTGATAGTTTCTAATTAATATATATATATATATATATATATATATATATATATATATATATATATATATATATATATATATATATATATATATATATATATATTTATTTATTTATTTATTTATTTATTTATTTATTTATATTTCAATTTCTACTGGCAAATTATTGTGTGAACGATGGTCCATATAATTGTATGGATCATGAATATCAAATACATTTTTAATATATTAAAAATACATTATTTTTATATTGAAAGTACCTTACATACATATATAATGTACCCTTAGTATATTTAAAATATACTTTTTATTGCATGCAACCCCAAAGTTCATAAGTTTGAAATTAATATATGGCATAGCTAGGCAGGTTAATATTTAAGATTGTTGATGTGCATATTGAGGATTACGGAGACAAATATGCGTTATTCGTGGATTCATCGGATACTATCCAACAACACTCTCCAACTTAATTGACGTGAAGTAGGTTTAGTAACATTAAGATTATATTCTCGAATTATTAGTTCTCATCTTTTATTGATTACACACTTAATTCGATAGTATTTGGAAGAAAAAATCAATGATCGAACTAAGATTGTGATTTTGGTCTTTAAAGGTAAATTGTATGTTGCTACATCTAGAGTTAGAAATCTCAAAGGTCTAAAAATTTTGATCCGTGGTGACTCTAAAATTTTAATTCAATTACTATTGTAGTTTACTAAGTTCTTAAAAATTTGTAATATTAAATACTATGTACTAAATTTTTAATATAGTTTAAGATTTGTAGTAATCATCTACCTTAAATATTATTTTAATTGTAAATATATTTATGTTCATAATTTTATCATAGGAATTCACACATAATAATTATTAAATAACAAAAAATTTATATATGAATAAACCTCATATAGGCCGGGTATATTTTTATAACATATTTTTCGTGCATCGCACGGGACAAATACTAGTTATTGTAATATAGTACGAAAACATAATCTTCATTCCGAACGAATTGAAGGTGAAACGTTTGGATAACTTAATAGATTTTGATATATATGTCAACTACATTAGATTGATTATGATTGATATATTAAAAATGACTCAAGAATAGGGACCCGGGGTTTAGGAGACCATAGCTTTGGGT